AACATAACACCTAAAGTAAGTGGTAAAGTGGGAAAAGAATTCAGACACCCTAACTCTTTTAGATGCTTGATCTTACTGCTTCAACTGGTGAGAAGGAAAATCAGGGAAATGGAAGATGGAAATGGTCTTGAAGTTGAAGCAGATGAAAGTCAAGTCAGCTTCAGAGATCAGTAAAAACTCAGCTTCACGATGGTTCCAGATTATTTTTCCCCCATCAATACTAGGAATCTAACCCAGAGCCTTCACACTGAGCTACATCCCCAATTAAAAAAAAAAAAAAAAAAAAAAAAAAAAAACCAACTTTTTGAGACCAGTCTCATTAAGTTGCTAAGTTTCCCAAGCCAGGCTCAAACTTGCAGTCCTCCTGCCTCAGCCTCCCAGGGTTCTGGTGTTGCAGGCATGGCACTAGCAAGATTTAACTTTAAACACGTTCAACACTGTGTATAGCAGCATTCCTGATAAAACATATTGCAGAGTATTCTTTTTTTTTTTTTTTTTTTTTTGAGGGACAGGGGATTGAACTCAGGACCCTGCGCTTGCCAGGCAAGCACTTATTCTACTGAGCTATCTCCCCAGCCCCTTGCAGAGTATTCTTACTATCTAAATATGGATCCAAGACAGCATCTGGAACCAATATCTTCTTTAATGGGGCTCCTGGAAGAAGAACCTTTGCCCCAGTTAATCTAGTTGTCATTTAAGTAAAGTTGATCATCTGTAAATTGGATCAATGTTACCAGATTACACTGCTGTTTCTTTCCCCATTCTTTCTAAGCCACAAAGCATTATTTCCCTTCTGGTGGACATCAGCTGGCAGGCTCAATCCAGCCCCACTGAGGAAGAAGATAAAAACTCAATTACAGAGGGCAGAATCACTATGTGATATAGATTTTATTGGTTCTCTAAGCAAAGGAGAATTGGACATGAACAGAAAAGGAGCAAAACCTCCTAGCTGGCCCAGCACCTACTACTGGTGGATGAGAAATCAGAGACTACTGGGTGACTCAGCCTAAAAACCAGGAAGTTACCCAGTATCAGTCAGTCATTCTAAGAAGACAAGGAAAAACACACAGGGGATGGGTGTGAAAAAGAAAATACTGTACTTAAGAAAACTTTGGTATTGTCCTAGGAAAAGAATCTTCCCTTTGCCTATGAATCTTAGAAAGAAGAAGAACAGGTACAGTAGCCTCATGAATTGGCACAAAAGTCAAAACTACTGCTTCTAGCACCCCCATCCCTCTGAGACCATCTCTGTCTGACCCCTGGTAGGAAGCAGTAGTGAAGCTGCCCCAGATTCTGTGCTCCAGGTGGAGAAGGCCTCAAGAAGGTGAAGAGATGAGCTAATCTGAGCGCCACGTCCCCATTTCCAAGGATGTGATTAGTAGAGAGGCACTTGGGACCCGCTCCATTTCAGGAAACCCGGTTATGGGAAATGGTGGGGGACAGACTTTGCTGGGGACCCAAGAGAAGTAGTTAACCCTCTATTATTGTCTGTATGGGATCCTATTGTGTGCATGGGAAATAACCTATTTTAATAGTTACTTGATGCTTTTTTAGGGGAGAAAGTCCCCATTAGAGGGGGACCTCAGGTATTTTCCACCTGTGTTCCTAAGGTCAACTTCTTTAGGGCATTTGAATGCTCTGAGGGAGTCTGAGAATGAGGTATGACCTACGAAATGTCCAGGAATGATATACACAGAAAGGGCATAATCAAAAGCAAGGCAATTCAACAGCTCTTAAAATGTCAGCTTCTCTGGTAATAGTGCTGATTCTGCTCAAATCCTCGGTCTGGGTTAGAATCAGTCTAGGATTCTTGAGGTGGGTCTCTTCTTGCTAGGCAAGCTATTTCTTATAATGAACAGAATATCCAAAATGGACATGTAACAGCAATCCAACTCCTGAGGTGGTTGGAAGAATGAGACCAGAATCAATATGTACCCAATCTAAAAACTGGGGAGAACTGCCCCCTGGAGTCACTGCTAATAGGACCCTAAAGGCTATGGCTGAAAATAGAACTATAGCTAAAGGCTCCTTGGTTTATCTGGTTGACTAAAATGACTTTTAACTTGAACAAATAATTTAATTTCTCTGGGCCTCACATTTTTTTGAAGATAACTGAACACTTCAACTCCCTCTTTTGACTGTAACATTTTGTTAGTTTTAGTGCTTTGGAGTCCAAACATAGGCACACACCTATAATCTTACTGTTTGGGAGGCTGAAGCAGGAAGATGGCAAGTTTGGGCAATTCAGTGAGCCCAGTTTAGGCAACTTAGTGAGCCCTTGTCTCAAAATTGAAATAATAAATAAACAGACATAGTGCAATGTGAGGGCGTAGGTTTAATTCCCACTATCACCAAAAAATTATTATTTTTTTCAGTCCAATAGCTTATTAGTTATTAGTCACAAAGAATTTGGTGCACACATTGATAGATGAGAGGACTGGGCACTTTGGCTCACTTAAAACTTAGTCTGTGGGAAATGAGGGTTTCTAAGTTCACTGGCTCCTCAGTTTTTGCCCAGAGGGATTGGTGTCCCATGGTAACAGCAATGGTTCATATTAAAGAACTCCCAAGCAGCTGACCAAGTCACATCCAGCTGGGAACTGCACAGGTAGCAGCTGTAGGTAGGGAAATGGAAAGGGGGTTAAGAGATTTTTGTTTCAGTTTCTAGTGCTAACATTTACAAATGGCTTGTCACATGACCTCATCTTGGAACTTTCTTTTAATTATGATATAAACACCTCCTTTAAGGGGGAGAATTATGGAAGATAAGAAAAACTGAAACATGGGGTCAATGCTCTCCAAATGTCCAGCCTGAGATGGGTGTGGTAAAGCACATCTGTAATCTCAGCACTCCTGGAGGCTGAGGTAGAAGGATTGCAAGTTTGAACTCAGCCTGAGCAAATTAGTGAGGCCCTGTCTCAAAATTAAAAATAATAATTTTTTAAAAGGGCTGGGGGAAAAACTCAAGCTGACATCAAACTGTGCCTGACTAAAGTGATAAGTGCTATGAAGTCCTGCTGGTGGGTGCTCATATTAAAGGCCTACTTCACTTCTGCCTCTATCTGGTTGTGAGGGCACTGTGTCCCTGCCTATCTTACTCAGGTCTCCCCTGCTTCTTGGATGGCTTTGGACACTGGGGAGGCTCATTTCAAGGGAAAAGACCAGGAGCCAGAAAGATGCTTTGAGAGTATCACCTGAGATACTTTGCCATTGACAACTGTTTCTCTACCTTTCATTCCCAGTGCCATTCTCAAGGTAGAGCTTATCTGTTGAGCTGACACTTTCAATGGTAACTATTTCTAACTCAGAACCTTGCATTTGGCAGGCAAGCACTTGTGCCACTGAGCTATACCTCTGGTTTCTTGAGACAGGGTTTTGCTATGCAGTTCAGGCCAGTCTCAAACTCACAGTGATCATCTTGCCTCAGCCTGAGATTACAGGTGTGCACCACCTCACCTGGCCAATGGTAATTATTTCGAAGGTTCATCCTTGGTACCTTGGCTTCTCACCTATCATATAGTGTAAATAATAATTTTACAAGATAGTTGTGAGACTGAAACAATTCATGTCAAGAGCCAACAGAAAGTCATTCAACCTGGTATTCAGGAGGCTGAGGCAGGAGGATTGCTGTGAGCTCAAGGTCAGCCTGGATTGCATAGCAAAACCCTGTCTCAAAAAGACAAAACCAAAACCAAACATGGTTATGATGAATTTTCCAGCAATAAAAACCACCTTTCTTCAATGAGTCCTATCTGTGAGCACTTGTGATGGTGAGGTGGGGCAACAACACTGAGTACCCTGGAAAAGGCTATGACTCAGGTGCCCAAAGACATGTTCTTTGGAGGAGCACCAAAGTTGTGGACTGGGCAGGCACTCTGCCAACTCTGCAGCCTGTTCCGTCCAATCCTGGCTTCTAGGAGCTGGAGTGGAAGAATTTTCCCTGGAGGGAAAACAGCCAACACCCTGTCCCACCCTTCTCCTTGGGCAACTCTGTGAGGTAAGAATTTCTCTCACCAGAATTTTCTGTTAGGCAGTTACAGGTTTAAGCCCCTCTCTGCACTCACCAAAGTCCAGCAACTGGAGCTCTATCTAGGACTCTTTCCTTACATCTGGAAACCCCCAGGGCTGTTTTTGTCTCTGCACATTGAATGCACTGAATAGCCTGGTGGGGTAAGAGAAGCTTCCAGGTCTTGCCTGAGGAGGGGACGGGTTAGATAAAATCAGGGTCGTCCAGTTTTTAAATTTCAGATGAACATGTTCTTAGTATCTGAACCAAATATTTCATGAAATATACATATAGAGGGAAAATCGTTTATCTGAAATCTAGTTTCTTTTTTCACTGTTTTTAATGGCAATATACATATATATATATATATATATATTTAAAGGATATACTTAGGTTAAGACCAGAGTATTTATTGGGGAAAAGAAAGCTGTCCAAGAGAGGGACAGAAGGGCCCCCCTCTCCCAGCGGGCTGCCCCCTGAAATGCAGTTTTAACTGGCTGCGCTATTTGTTGTATTTGCTAGGCAGATGTGCGAACTGGAGGCTGGCTTGGGGCACTGGGGCAGCTCCTGCAAAAGGGCAGGCCACACCCGGCACTTGAGATTTCTCCCAGCTGAGAGAAAAGCTCTGGGAAGCGCCCACCGCAGTCAAGGCGCTTTAAAACAGCTGAACGCTGCATCTCGGAAGGACCGTGGGAAAGTCGCTGGGAGGAGTCGCGGCCTGACCTGGTTCCAGCTCGCCTCCAACACCGGCCGCAGGTGGCTGACTCCGTCGCCCGCGCGGCCCGCCCACCCACCTGCCTACTGGCAGAGCAAGGAAGTTCTGGCACCCCTCCACGCCAACGGGCGGGGGCGGTCTCTAGTGCGCAGGCGCACCACGTAGTGGGCGGGGCAAAGCGTGCGCGGGCGGGAAGGTTCGAGTTTTCACGTCCGGGCGTGGGCGCCTACCTAGGAAGAAGCTTGAAGCCCGAAGACCGTGCGGAGGAGGAGTCCGCGGCCACCTGCGGGTGTTTCAGCAGAGCGTTACCGCTGTTTCTCTAGCGAAATGGAGCGGACGGCCTTGGCTGTCTGTGAGGTGATGCTGGGAAGGAAAAGGAAAGCTGAGGAAAACGGTTTCTGAGGAGGCAGCGTTGGGTAGACTGTGAACTTTGTGCAGAGAGAGGGGTCTGGCGTTGCCGGAAGTGGAGGAGGAAGGTTTAGGGGAGGCCAGGAGTGGGTGGAAATCAGCCTTGCTTCTTTGAGTCTGTGAGGAGCAGCTGAAAACTGAGGCGAGGCAGCGCTGGTCAGGCTCGCTGCGGGTTCCCGGTGAGGAACAGCTCAGGATGGGAACGTTGCCCATCAGAGAGGGAGCAGAGTAACGAGGGGGTTCTGTGCAGAGGGGTCGCGGGTCAAAGTATGGCGTAGGTTCCTGAAGGCTGCACACACTGTAAGCACTCAGATGTGTTCTCCCCTCCTTGAGGAAGGCGTTGCACACCACTGTCACCTCAGGCAGCCATTACCCAATGGGATGTTTAGCAACTGGCCTTGTAAGGCAAGCTGGGCAGGTGAAGTAGAGCCACAGGCACTGAGAGCCCCTTACGGTGTACTCAGTCCTCCTCCTTTCTTTAATGCCATTAAAGGAAGTTGGAGGGTTCGATTTTACAGATGACAGAACCTAGGATTGAACACAGGGCTCTGACTCACAGGCTTGTGTTCTTTTCTCCAACTGCTCTCATTATGAATAAAATACACCATGGGAAAATCTGAACAGAGGGGGCACAGGAAGTCAAAGAATGGGAGAAAGAAGTAAGAGGGTAGAAATGCCTGAAAGCTGTCTCAATAACATCTAGTATTAATTAGGATCTTAGTTCCCAAGTTCTTTTGCTCAAATCTCTCTGCCTTTAAAAAAAAACAAAACAAACAAACAAACAAACAAAAAAAACACAAAAAGGCAGTAGTTCTTGTGTCTTATTGCGGTGGAAGAGTCTACTTTCATAAATAATAATGGAAATTACATTTTAATTTGTGTCATCAAGATTGTATATCTTATTTGGGTATCTTCTTTGTTGACTTTGATCACCCTGTAGAGCTCCTCTCCTTTTCTTTCTTCTTTTGGTCTTTTTTGTAACATTTTTAGTTGAGGTTTATTTTTTGTTTTCAAGGCAGAGGACCGAACTCAGAGCTTCCAGCTTGCTAAGCAAGTGTTCTACCGCTGAGCTAAATCCCTTGCCTCGCCTCTTCTCTTCCCTTCTCTTCTCTTTCTATCTCTTCCCTTCCCTTCTCTTCTCTTCCCTTCTCTTTCTTTTTCAGCCAAAGATTTATTTACTTGACAAAAATACAAAGTAATATTATCATGAATAGAAAGAGAATTTTGATTAGTGAAGTTTAGTTTATGCACTTTTTTTTTTTAAGGACAGCCTCACTATGTAGTTCAGGCTGGTCTTGAATTCCTGGTAATCGTCCTGTCTCAGACTTCAGAGTACTGGGATTAAGACATGGGCAATCACACCTGGCAAAATCACTATTTTGATTAATAAACCAAGAACTCCTATAGGAAATGTTTTCCTTATTTGTCATTTATTTTGCGCTTACATTTGGGTTTCTCATACAAGAGAAACCGTGTGATATTTAAGCTTATGTGTCTGATTTATTTCAGTTAACATTATGGCCTCAAGTTGCATCTGTGTTCCTACAAATAACATTTATCATTTATGGCAGAGCAGCACTCCATTGTGCATAAATGCCATATTTTCTTTATGCATTCATCTGTCAGTGGACGTGTAGGCAGCTCCCAAGGTCTGGCTATTCTGAATCGTGCTGCTACAAATGTGGATGTATGATATTTTAAACTTTTTATGGAGGGGAGGTATGGGGACTTGAACTCATAACCTTGAGCTTGCCAGGCAGGCACTGTGCCAGTGAACTATATATCTGTCTGAATGTCTTTAATTCTTTTGGGAAGATAATAGGGAATAACTAGGTCAAATGAAATTGCTTGATTTTTTTTTTTTTGAGGAATCTCCATACATATTTCCATAGTATTTGAATTAGTTTACATTCCCAATAACAATGTAGAAGTCTGCCTTGTTCTTGCAGCTTCACCAGCGTTTGTTATTATTTGGATGTCTTGACATCTTAATTATCTTAAAAATGCATATTGCGTTCATTCTTTAATGCAGATGAAGTTAGAATTTACAGTGCCAACTGCCCTGTGTTAAGCATTTGACGTATCCAATGTAGTGTGTTTAGTCTTATATTTTAGATGAGGAATCTGGGATACAGAGAGATTAAGTAACTTGTCACATGCTAGAAGTTGGCATATCAGGGATTCAAACACAGACATTTGCCTCCAGCACTCAGGTAATAGTTTGACTCCTAAAAATGTTGATTTAATAAAATGTAAAGGTTATTCATAACCAGATGTCACTCTTATTTAGAGTCTTCATATTGGCTTTTATTTATTTGGGAGAAAAAAAGCAAGAAAAACACATCTAAATTTTCCTTAGTTTTTATTTCCAACTTATCCTGACTACTGTAATTTTTTTTCTTTTAGTCCTAGGAATTGAACTCAGAAACTACAGAAATTTATTGGCTCAGTTTCCTTTCTTGTTGGTCATTGTGAATTTTATATTCTACTTTCATAGGTCACTCTAAGCATTCTGTTTAGATACCATTATACTTTGGACAAATATAAATTGACCTTTTTCAAGCAGGGTGTATGGTATGGGAAAGGGGGTTAAAGTTGTTAACTGTATCATGCAAATTTATTATTGTGATTTAAAAGATTGTTTTCTTTTCAGATTTTGAAATATTTAATAATTCACTGGAGGTGTGAAGCAGAAATATCAAAGGGAGCATTGCTAGAAGGGCAGCTAGTGATTTCCATAGAAGCATTAAATTCTAAGCACCAGCCAGATGTTCTTCACTGTGTAACAACTAGTAAGTAGAGTAAGATAAATTATTTTCTTTGACTTTTTTTGAGACAGGGTCTTGCTATGCAGTTCAGGCTGGCCTTGAGCTCACTTTGTAGCCCAGCCTTGTCTCCAATTCATATCAATCTTCCTACCTCAGTCTCCTGAGTGCTGGGGTTATAGGCTTGTGCCATCATGTCTGGAAATTTCTGTTTTTTTTTTGTTTTTTGTTTTTTTTTTGTAGTGAATTGTCATAGTTTACATTAAATTTTCAGTGAGCCATAATCTTACATAGTTAAAAAATCAAAATGATTATGTAATAAGTATCTGGTGATAAATTCACAAATGTATCAGATGGGAAAGGTGAACAGAATGACTTATCACAAGTTCATTTAACTGGCTTTGATTAAGATTGCTTACAAATTCTTTTTTTTTTTTTTTTTAAGACAGGCTCTTACTGAACCAGTTCAGGCTGGGTTTGAGCTGTAGATGATTCTTCTTCCTTGGCCTCTTGAGGGCTGTGATTATTTACAGGTGTGCACCACCACACTGTCCTAACAATTTCATTTTTATGCTTGGTTTTAACCTACTCTTTCATGGTAAAATTATATTGTGTTTTTAAGGACTTTTTCTTTCTGTCCAGATGATTGTGGTTGGAAAAAGAGGAGAAATAAAGGGAAAGGAAAGTAAATGACATGATGAATAGGGCATTTTTTAAATAATTTGACCTGCAGCTATTTTGAAATTATCTCTTACACTTGAATCTTAATTATCTCTTCCTTTTGAGCCTTACTGTCAGCATTTGTATCTATTCTCATGAGGGAAAACTGATGTGTTTTGTGGCTGTGAAACGAGTAGTTTTCTTGAACTTGTGAACTTCTAACATTTTGTCTGATTCTGTGTGTGTGTGTATGTTTAAGGATTTTATTTTATTTTTTATTGGTGGAACCAGGGATTGAACTCAGGCCCTTGTGCTTGCCAGGGAAGCGCTTATTCCACTGAGCCATCTCCCCGGCCCCAGTGTAGGGTTTTTTTTTTTTTTTTTTTTTTGTGAAGTTGTCCCATCAGCCATATAGGAGTCACTCAGAGACCCATTTGAAATTGGATAGCATACGGAACTTTAATAAGACATTTGCTTACTTAAACTGGAATGACCTGTCTACTTTTTGTATTATGTTTAGTATTAAGCATCCTTCAGAGTGTTACAGACTGGTTTGCTGTTTCTCTATGAACACCACTATAACTGGGCAGAGTTCTTACCACTCATGAGTGAAATACTTGTATCTTTTTTTATATATTTAGGACAGAGTCTATAGGATCACAGGGTCTTACTATGTAGATGGACCTCATGATGATCTGCCTGTGTTCAGCCTTCTAAGAGCTGGGATAATAGGCATGTACCACCACACCCAGTCTCAACTGCCATCTCGGAGCACACGAGTGGGTGGTGGGGAAGCACGGTGGGGCTGGCATGGCACCCTGGGGATCGAACCCCAGGTGCTGCGCTCTGCCTAAGCAGGCACTTTAGTCCACTGAGCTATCTGGCTGGCCCTAATACGTAAGTTTCATATCTAGGATGTCACTGGGAAGTTTAAGATTAAATCAGCTTTTGCATTGATTCTAATGTGATAAACTGTGCTAAGGATAACAGGATTGATTTCATTTAAAGCACATGCCAAAGTTGCTTCTGGCAAGAAGTCCAACTCTGGCATTTTGAGCCTAATGGATATCTAGTAACATCTAGTGTAACATGCTAGTATAAAGGGCGTAACATCTAATATAAAGGGCATTTCTCTTTTCTTTATTGTCTCTGATCTCTGTGTAATTATGTTTATAGTTCCATGGGGGGGAGTAGGAAAAAAGGTGATCACAACATTATAAAACATTATATTACATAAAAAACATTATATTGGGGCTGGTGAGATGGCTCAGTGGTCTAAAGCACCTACTTAGAACAAGCTTAGCAAAGCACAGGGACAGCAGTTTGATCCCCCAGCACCACATGCCAGCCAGCCCCGCCCCCTGGTGGGCTGAGCTGGCCACACACACACACATAAAAAAAAAAACAAAACAAAACAAAACAAAACATTATATTACAGAAATGTCATTGAGAGTGAGACTTTCTAGTTACCTCGCTCCTTGAAATGACTATTAGCATTCAGTATACTTACAGATTTTTCTACATATGTTCAGTTATCAGTATTTTTTAAAATGCAGATTAGAGTGTAATTACAGTTTTGTCATGTGCTTTTTAGTAAAGTGAAATAACATTTCATGTTAGAATGTAGAGATCGGGGGCCAGGGAGATGGCTCAGTGGAATAAGTGCTT